TGCTTTCCTCTCCCTCAGAGAAGATATTTTATACGTGCTTCATGTAATAAATTATTGTCACGTCTTAAATGATATGTATTGATTTGCGATGGAGTTGAACATTAGGTTATGAAATTATTACGGTGCACAAATTGTTAGGAATTTGATTGCACAAAATACATGGTAAACGGAGAAAATATATAGAGAAGGTAATTACAACAGATCAAGTGGTAAATTGGACATTGACCCAAATCGGCTGCAATTGTGTTGTTTGACCTGGAGTCCGAGCTGCAGCTTTCTGAAAATCCGAGAACCGAATTTAGGAGGTTCTTCTGCGTTTGTGGGTGGGTGGGTGCGAGAGAGAGAGAGAGAGAGATGCCGAAGAGGACGACGCACACGTACTCGAGCGAGGACGCAGCTCCTGACGGCCCCGACTCCGACCTCTTCGTTTACTACTGCAAGCACTGCGGCTCTCACGTCCTCATCACTGGTTCTCTCTCTCTCTCTCTCTCTCTCTCTCTCTCTCTCTCTCTCTCTCTCTCTCTCTCTCTTGTGTGTGTGTGTGTATCTTCTGTGCTTGATTGGGTGTTGCCTGTGCTTTGAATCTCTCGTCGAACTGAATTTTACATTCGTTTTGAAAGATACCCAGTTGCAGAAAACGCCGAAGAGGAAGACCGACCGGGCATGTGTGTTGGACAAGAAGACGCACCTTGCTCGGCTCAATGTCAACGAGGCTGGCAAAATCCTCTTGAAACGGTGAATCCCCTAATCTACGCTTTCCCTTACGACCCTCTTGGGCCATATTGGTGGAAAAGAAAAAACATGAGAAACGAGAGAGCAATTCATTTGCTAAATTATGTTCGATTCGGGTGATAAGCTGTCATCTATTCTAGGGGAAATCTTGAAGTAAAAGGTGTTCAAGGGCTTATTTTTTCACGCCATTTTTTTGTTCTGATAGCGTGTTCTGAATATGTTCCGCAGTGCTAGATGATTATGCCAATGTTTGTCAAGTTTTTTGGCCCCCCGTATCAATTCTCTCTCTTAAAAGTTAATAGAGCCGGATGACTATGTTTTCCTTAATAATAAGCTATGCGTAGAGTCGAGTTGGTCGTGCCTGGAATGAGGCATGGGTAAATAAATTCTGAGTTCTGAGCGAGCTCTGATGGTGCATTGTTGCTGCTGAGTGCTTGGTTTCTCTGTTTTTTCATCTTAATCCAGGGGGGAGGGTAAGCTGGAGAAGCAATTTCGCATGAATTGTATAGGTTGCGGCCTGTTTGTCTGTTACCGAGCTGAGGAAGATCTGGAAACTGCTTCATTCATTTATATCGTAGATGGGGCATTGAGTACTGTTGCTGCAGAAACAAATCCCCAGGTACCATTGAACTTCGATAGCGATTTCCTATGTTGTACTTCTGGCTGGCTCAGTTTTATAATGCTGTATTGTAAGATTGTGGATTTTTCATTGAAGTAGGAAACTTTGGATTTAACAGCTAGAGTTCTGGCAGGCGCATTGATTGTTTCTTCCACTCTCTTGGGCATCTTTCATTGTGATGCCCAATTAAGTGTCAATGTCGAAGATTCCTTACTTTGTCCTGGTTGCTGCTGTAGGATGCTCCTGTTCCCCCTTGCATATCACGGTTAGAGGGAGGTCTTGTTCAAGTGGCTATAGAAGTGGAAGCTGGGGCACAACGCTCTGCAATCACAAGTAATCTAACTGCACAAACTGCGTCTTTTAAGTGAATCGATGTCCACACTTTGAGAATGTTTTGATTACCTTTCCAAATGCTCAAAATGTCACTCCATTCTGGGACATAGCTACTTTTGAACATTCCACGTCGATCGCATATCTCATTACTTGCTTGAATTTAATCTGCAATTCGCACCTTTGAGTCACGACTTTATGACTCTGTCATCTGCGCTGGTTTCTTGGGTTCCGTGTAATTCTTATCAATCTTGATCTTATTTTGCTCCTTCAATCGGTGCTTGAGATCTTTATTTTATTAGTTGTGCAATGAAACATCTAACCTCTTCAGCCATTTTTCTCTTCACTTGTAATTCAGGAGTGAATGCTGATGATGTTCGAGTAACAATAGCTGCACCCGCAGCCCGGGGAGAAGCTAATAATGAACTATTGGAGTTCATGGCAAAAGTAACACTTTAATGTTCCAGTTCTTGCAATTGAGAAAATGCCATTTGTCTTGCTTAAGTCACAAACTAAGTATGCATGTCTGATATCTGTATGTAGGTGTTGGGTCTGAGACTTAGCCAGATGACACTGCAGAGGGGATGGAATAACAAATCGAAGCTCCTCGTGGTTAGTATAGATTCATTAGCCAATGCTTGGTGATGAATTCATTAGAAAGTCCATCTGATTGTGTTATTAAAATTAGGAGTTACTCAAGGATAGTATTGGTATTGTTACTGTAAGCACCTGTTTCATTTTTGAGTTTTCCTTGAAATGTCACCCTAGCGTTAGTTCTTAACTTCATTACTTTTTATTGGTTCACATGAATCTAATGAGACATGTGGGTGGCTTCTCTTCTCATGGGAATTCTTCAGCATGTTCGATGAATTCACTTGCAGATTTGTTCCATGCCATGTGTTGTAAGATGAGCTCGTCTAGTGGTCTTTACTAGTGGCTGTTTCGTAAGGATGTCAACAAGAAAATGCCTTCTGTAATGTCAAGCAATTGGAGTTAACATATTTAAGAACGAAGTGTAAGAGTCTATGTTGGATTAAGCTTTGGCCCCTGCCTACTTGCTTCTTTAATTTGAATTTGAAGAATATATTGCACTCTGCCTTCCTTGGTTTTGCTCCAGCAATTGATTGTTGCGTGATCTGCTTATGATTGATGCTCCTCCAGGTGGAAGACTTGTCCGCAAGACAGGTGTACGAGAAGCTACTTGAAGCTGTGCAACCTTGAAGTTGTTTCATTGAGGCATTTTTAGATCTCGCAACATTTTTGTGCTCAATTGCAGTTATTCATGCAATTTTTAATTTAACCCTCTTGTAAAAGTGCTTCACTCTTGATGGCCATAGGACACAGGGACGGTTCATGAGATTATCAAGGTAAAAGTAGGAGCATCCTTTGGAAGCATTTTGTAATCCATTTGACAGTAGCCATGGTTAATGTCAGCTGATAGAGTTGCTTTGTCTGGTGGTGGCTTGACATGTTGGCTTTGTGAATAGTACTAGTGAATTTAGCCCATTGACCGCCTTCACGATTGCCCCTGCTAATTTGACAGCAGATAAAAGCATCATAAGTGGTGTCTGTTCGTACTGGAATAAGGATTCAATGACAAGTAGAGGACAGTCCTGTGCTGTAAAAGAAATCTGCAGAGTTATGTCAAAAATTAGCTTAGGCCGGTTTGGTTACTTTTATTTTTGCTTTCATCTACGGACAGTAAAATAATTTTACTTGTTTTTAGTTTAGTTTAACATTTTTTTGGTTAAAAACGTTATCTGATTATGGCCAATAATAAATATCTATTTAGTATCATTTTTACTGACAATGGTTGTCATGTCATTTTCTGTTTATTCACATATATCGATCTGGCCAATGACCGGTAAAGATGGCATTTTATTAGGGAAAATTCAAAAAAGAGGCTCGAAGTGGAGTCATTTTCTCAAATAAGGGCCTGAAGTAAATATTATTTCAAATAAGGGCCTGAAGTGGCCAAATCGTCTCAAAAAAGGGCATTTGGCCGGCCGATGACTATTCCGTCGCCGAAGAAGGGGTATTTTAGTCAAAAACATTATAAGCATATATTTTTTGTTTTATTTTTACTTTCTTTTTTTTTCTTTTCCTTTTTCTTTTTTCTTTTTCCTTTTTTCTTTTTCTCTCCCAACCTTCACTGTGCCTGGCCAGCGACCTCCGTCGACCTCACGCGACGCTGCCCTTGCCGACGTCCAGTGAGGGCAACTCTCACCCTGGCCTGGGCTGGCCTCACCCTCGCCAGCCCAAGCAAGGGCGGCCTCTACCTGAGGCTAGCGACCTCTACCAGCCTTAGTGATGGCCGGTGAAGGGAAGAGAGAAAAAAATTAAAAAAAAAAAAGGAAAACAAAAAAAGAAAATAAGGAAATAAAAAAAAATTCAAAAGTAAAAGACGAAAATACATTTTGACCGGTGAGGTCATGTCCTTATTTGAGACTGATATGGTCACTTCAGGTCATTATTTGAGATAAGATTCACTTCATGCTCTTATTTGAGAAAATTAGGGCACATAATACCCTTATTTGAGACAAGGTCCACTTCAGATCCTTATTTGAAAAAATAATTTCACTTCGAGCTCCTTTTTGGACTTTTCCCCATTTTATTAGCCCCCTTCTTTAGATGCAACTTTATTTGTACAGGAGACATGGCTATTGTAGTGTTTGGATGCCTAAAATTTTAATACAAAGTAATATTTTACAAAATGAAAAGAAAAAAAATAGAGCATTACTCTTTAGCCACCATGAGGCGCAGGGCAGCACAACCCTAGCTGGGCAACCCTCGGCAAGGCTGTCGAGAGTTGCTCAACCACAGGCAAAGATCTACCTCGCTCGTGCTCTAGTAGAAGAGAGGTGACCCTTATATCATTTGACCGATCACCTTGGTGGTACATCGTTAGTCTACGAATGTGTAAATTAATGTTTTACGTGTTTAGCATAACTTAAAAGTAAGTGCACCTTGCCTCCAAGAGGTTGGCTGCGTTGGTAAGGATGTAGGATTTGGGGTCCCAGGTCCCAAGTCCCAAGTTCGAGTCCCCTCTGCCGCGTAACCTTATCATACTCTTGACTTACATGGAGACTAGTTTGTGAGGCCAGATTAGCTCTCCGCCGGTTGGTGCCCGGCCGGTCGGACCCTTGTAGTGCGGCCGGTGTGGGAGTCCGGATTATCAAAAAAAAAAAAAAAGTAAGTGCACCTTTGTCCGATGAACTCTCATAGCAGCTGAAATTTACGAGAGGGGAGACATGCATTACGCAAGCAAACACCCAATCCGGAAGTGATTAAAAGAGTGAGTACACGCGGCGTGATCTGGTTGGGGTGTTCCAAGTTTTAATTGGAAAGGAGACAAGAAAACAGTTGCAGAATGCAGAGTGAATGAACCGAAATTTCAGACAACAAAAACTGCCTCGCTTCCATTCTTAAAACGAAACTGTTGAAATCCCACTTCGGATTCTGCAATTCCATTTAGGACCAAAACTAAAGCAATGCGAGGTGTCGGAGCTTTTTCATCACCAATGTGCGTTTCACCAGCCATCCCTTCCGGCCGCTGCAGTCATTCCAATCCCAGCAACATCTTCCTCGGAAGAAGAGATTCAGTTTCAACTCCGAATCAGAGTCGGTCTCCGAAGAAACGCCACCAATCTTTCTCTCTCTCTTTGGGCCGAGCGTATACCAATTTCGCTGCAATAGCTGCTGCTGCTTCTTCACCTTCGGGTAAATTATCGGGGAAATTCTTTCCCCTGCTGTTTCTCTGCTTCATTTTATATGGGTTTTACGAATTGTGTCTATATTGTCACTTTGATTGTTCGTTACTTCTGACCCATCACGTTAGTCGATGTAATTTTTGACGAATTTCTTTCTTTCTTCTGAAAGTTGCAGTTTTTAAAAGAAACTGATGAAAAGAGCCCTTTCGGATGTAGTGCTGTCTTATTTTCTTTGCCTTGATTTCCTGTCTTTTATTGAGCATGCAGTAGGGAGTGAGTCAAATGCGGAAGAACCGGTGACCGGGGTTAAGTTCCAGACGCCTTTGACACTACCGGGGTGTTTGACATCTCTATCTTTGGTTGGAACAGGTAAAATCCTTGCTGCATTGGCCATTGTGACCAGAAACTTAATATCTTTCACACACACACAATGAGATCTAGTACAAAAAGTTGTTCTCAAGAAAAAGTGAATCGCACGCGTACATTTTTCTTAATAAGGAGAGCGAAACTCGTGTGCAAAATAGCTTCTATTTCGTATGTCAATGAGATGCAACAGAAATTTCTTCTCGTAAAACATCCACGTCTGAACAATGTAAACTTCAACCTACAACTGCAATGAAGTCAATATGTTGCAAATATGGGATATCTTTCAATACTGAACTTTCGGAAGGAACCTTCTCAATATTGTATCGTGTGATGGTTGTTGGAGACATCTTCAACAGCTATTCTCTCCCAAAAAATCAGCCCTTGCAAATCAAGTTTTGAGGTTACCTTCTTTTCTTTCCCTCATTTTGGTCATGATTACGGTTCTTGATTGAAAGAATCTCAAGTCCCTCCTCTGCTTAATACATGATATTACGTCCTTCATTTCCTCTGACTTAACCTCCTCAAGGATGCTTTATCTTCGCTAAATGCTTGGTAACTCAATGCTATAATTGCAGGATACAGGGAGAAAGTTTTTGCAATAATCGGAGTTAAGGTCTACGCTGCAGGACTCTATGTAAACCCATCAATCTCTTCTAAACTGAATGCTTGGAAAGGGAAATCAGCAGCTGACATTCTGGAGGACAGATCATTGTTCAACTCAATTTTACAGGGTAACACCAGAATTAGCAGCTCCAATTAGTGTTTTGTTGTAGTCCATGCTGAGCATTCATGTGTTGAGTGAGCAAGAGAAAAGAGGGTAGTTTGTGTGGTTGCTAACACTGATTGGTGCAGCTCCGCTGGAGAAGTCATTACAGATTGTTCTGGTCAGAGATGTCGATGGAAAAACTTTCTGGGATGCCTTGGATGATGCTATCTCTCCAAGAATCAAGTCACTCACTCCTGTTGACCAATCTGCTCTATCCACCTTCCGCAACATCTTTCAAGGACGCTCTCTTAAGAAAGGAACCTTCATATTTTTGACTTGGTTGGACTCATCAAAGATGCTAGTGAGTGTAAAATATGCAACCATCTATTGTATTGACAATCTTATTCTTGTATACACATGCACACTATACTGTATAGAGGCTACTTTATATAGCTTCTTGTTCTTCTGGCATTGTTCCTGCATGCTAATGCATGAGGGTTACATGCCACTCTTTTCTTCCTTTCCACATGACAATTCGGGCAATTGGAATTTTATGTCAGGTTTCTGTTTCATCTGACGGGTTGCCATCTGGAGCGGACGCTACAATTGAGTCAGAGAACGTCACCTTTGCGCTGTTTGATGTGTTTTTGGGGGATGCATCGGTTTCTCCTTCCTTAAAAGCTTCTGTTGCTAATGGTTTGGCAGCCATCCTCAACTAGTTTCCATGGGTTAGTCAAGCTTCTAGAAGAGCTTATTCATCAGGTCTGGCATATGGCTTCTTTTTTCTGTTTCAATTTTATGAATCACGTAATCAGATGAATTGTGTCCACCGAGATTAAGACAGAATAGTCCATTTGGACAAGTTGAGTTGTCCTCGAGACATTTAAGAAAGCAACCACCCTTCAGTTCTTATTAATTCATTCATTATTTACTTATTCGATTCAGTTTGTGCAATTCTGAAATGTTCATGTTCTAGTCATTTGGTGTTCTGTTCCTTGAATTGATCTGGTCTATCCCATGTTCTCGACATTTCTACCAGAGTTGAACAGGTGATTCAGAATTAGAAAAGTGGATTAGTATGCTGAGCTACAATTTAGAGTTGAGAGATGCTATTTTTATAGATGATTTACAATATATTGTATATTGAGTGATGTGGCATAATCTGAATGGATGTTCAGAGACGTGGGTTAAAAGCACTGATGGTAGATTAATTCGGTTGTCCAATCTATTATTCCATATCGTTTGGTATACCTTATTTTGTAAATATAGTATACCGAGCATTACTCTCTGGTCGCAATTAGTGGAACGACCTTGGCCTTCTTTCTTCCCGTAATGCTATAGAATTTGATGGAGGAAAGCTCTTTCTTGGTCAATGACAGGAATGGAGTTACATTTGAGCTGGTCTTTGGGACCCAACAGAAAAGATAACAGCTTCTCTTAGAATACATGGTACCAGGGTCTAAAGATCTACGCAGATTTCTCTGACTTTATTTGCTCGAGCATCTTGACAACTTCAGCCATGGTAGGCCTTTTAGCCGGTTCGGGCTCAAGGCACATCAATGCGACAGTAAATACACTGTTAATCTCGTCAACTGGACAATCTTCCAATCTGCTGTCAAGCACATATTCCTCCCTCTTCTCTTTGACTACCGACTTCACCTGTTTGTGACCAGACAAGAATGAGTGCCTAAACAGTAGATAGTTTTCGCTAATCTTGAATATCAGATTAAAGTCACTCAAATTTGTTTATACTTTTTACCAGAGGATACCCCTAAGATGTATTGAAGGCTTCTAGGCTGATCTTTATCATAAATTTTATTAGAAATATCACTGTAAATTTAATTTGTCAAAATCTTAGTTTAGCTCCAGAATTACCCATGTCACAAGCTTGGTGCCTTCCTCCACGAACGCTTCGTCTGTAGGCTTTTTCCCAGTCAGAAGTTCAAGCAGAACAACCCCAAAGCTATAGACATCTCCTTTTGCTGTTGCTTTCCCTGTATCAAAGTATTCTGCACAACAAAAGTGAATAAAACTTTCTAGTATCAAACTCACATAGGGAACTATGGATTTTGTCGTAAGTAGTGTTTGATGGTCCAATACCAGGAGCTAGGTATCCAAAAGTTCCTGCTACGAATGTCGAAACATGAGTCTTATCTGGTTCCATCAGTGCGGCGAGCCCAAAATCAGAAACTTGGGCGTTCATATTCTGATCCAGCAATATATTACTCGATTTTATGTCCCTGTGAATTATGTGCGGGATGCAATCATGATGGAGATAGGAGATTCCTCTTGCAGCACCCACAGCTATTTTATACCTCGTCGGCCAATCCAATATCGTCTTGTTCATTGATCTTCCTGTAAAACAGTCAGATTCAGTATATTGAAATCTCTCATCATATAAAGAACTCTATTTCTGAACTCAAGCCACATACTTGCGTAGCCCATATTAACTTATGCTAACAATTCAGCTGCAACATAGGAGCTTTCAATGATATTATCTTTACCATGGAGAACTCCATCAAGACTTCCGTTAGGCATGAACTCATATATGAGAAGATTGTAGCTATGGGTGGTGCAGTATCCATGGAGGGTCACGATGTTGCGGTGCTTTATATCTCCCATGGCCTCCAGCTCTCTCTCAAATCCCCTGTCTCTCTCCGAACTCCCCTTGTTGAGCCTTTTCACTGCAAAGGCCATGGAGTCGTTTATCATCAGTTTATAAACCGTCCCATAGCCTCCCGAACCAATGATATCCTTGTTGCTCAACTTCAGAGCCTTCTTCATGAATGAGTCCGATGTGAGAGACCGCATCGCCGACGACCTGAACATCACCAACTTCCCACCTGTCACCGGAAGCACAATATTGACATCGGTGTGTTCCTCATTCTTCCATAGGAAGAGACTAAACCGCCGAGCACTTGAGAAGTAATGACGTACCCGACAATCCGTTTTCATAAACCAGGTGCTTTCTCCTCCATCGTTTGTAGAGAAGAAGGGAGATAACGATCTTCGATGCTACGAAAGCAACGGAGCAGATGGTGATGTAAAATGCTAAGAGCAGAGACTTCTCCATTTGGTCGGTCAAATTGAGATGGAGTGTCTTAGTAATTGAGGTTTGGTTTGAACACTAGTTTCTCTCTATATTTGTGAGAAGAAAGTTTTAGGAAGAGCATAAAGCAGAGGGGTAGGTGAAGAAAACAACACCTCCACGTACAAGAAACTATGCACGATATTGACACGCAAGGGGCCACTATTACTTGAGTGAGGCGAGGCATAATAACATGACAATATTTCTTGTCTGTCCACTTTTTGTAGACAGCTTTAACGAGGTACGCGTGGGTTGCAGTTTGCCACCTCATCCCATATCTTCGCGATGGAGAGCTATAAAGATAAAAGATTTCCTTTTGAACTGGGGTGTTGAGTATACGAAATTTATTGAATCTGTTCTTTTCACAGAGATACGGTTGCTAGTGACTTGGCATCCAGGGGAAAACCAACTTACTATTTATGAATCATGTCACTTGGAGCTCTAAAAAGATAATCATTCTGTTTTTCTATTTTTTTATTTTTTTGTTATTAGGAACATATTTGGAACAGAAATTCGTTTGGTAACGTAATTTCATTTTCTATTTCTAGAACAAATTTTGAATTTAGAAATAGGTTAGGAACAGAAATGAAATTTTTTTATTTATAAAACAAAAATAAAAAATAAAAATTCTTCTCATCGCTCGCCCTCGCTACTAGCCGGTCGCTCACCCATCGCCCGCCGCCGCCCACCTACCGTCCACCGCCTTCCACCGTCCACTGGCCGCCATGGGCCACCACCTGCCTCCGGCCGCCCTCCTCCTGCCACCGCCCTCCTCTCGCCATTGCCCGCCTCCCACCATCCGTCGGCCGTCGTCCCCCGCCGCCAACCACCGTGGGCTGCCGCCCGTCGTCTGCCGCCTCCCGCCGCTGCCCACCTATTGTTCGCCGCCTCTCGCCATCCGCCGGCCGTCGTCCCCTGCCGCCGACCACCGTGGGCCGCCACCCACCTACCACCGTCGCACTCCTCCAGCCACCACCCACCCCCGCCGCCGACCGCCGTGGACCGCCACCCGCCCCCCTCCCGCTATCAGCTGCCACCTCCCACCGCCCTCCTCTCACCACCACCCGCCACCAGCTGTCGCTTGCTTCCCGTAGTTGCCCGACGCCAGCCGGCTCTTGCCGCCATCCTCCGCATTGACTGCACCGCCGTCTGCCGCCCACCCGCCAGTTGCCCGAGAGAGAAATTTTATGCCATTATCAAACAGATTTTTGTTTCGAAAACAGAAATTTTGTGTTGTTATCAAATGCATATTTTTGCTTAGAAACTTATCCATGGAATAGAAATTTCTAGCCAGAAATTGATTTCTGAAACAGAATGATTGTCATTCGCACCCTTAGTAGTTTTTTCTTTTTGGGTCATGAAAACAAACCCAAAAGAGTAGAGATAATACTAAGTGTGAATGAATCATGTGAAAGCATTGGGTCTCTCAACTGTTCCACCCGTAAACGGAGGAGATAGGATAGGATTTATGGGGCATGCTCTGTTTGGATATTCGACAAGTACAGGATGTGAAAACAACGCGTAGCACACAGTTGGCGAGCTAAGAAGGCTCACTTGTCTTCATTCTCACCAAACTTTTTGAGTCTTCTTGGCTCAGTTGCCATGTGATAGGCTTCAGTTGTCATGTGATAGTTTGAAACTGTTGGCCCACTTCCAGTTTCCACTGCTGTGTCATTGACAAATGTCTGTTTTAGAGCTTTTCGCTACGTGCAAGTCGGTGATTTAGAGAGACTATTTTGAAGGGAAAAAGAGCTTTTCGCTAGGTGCAAGCGCGTGATTAAGAGAGACTATCATCAAGGGCAAAATGATTTTCGCATAACAGACACCCGGTGCATGCAACTGTTTCGTCATACGTGGTCTCATTCTTCCTGTTGATGTAAGATGCTACGAGAAAGTGAAATGCTCATAGGCAAACTGATTCTTGACGCTTATGTCATAGCATAGAGATGCTGATCCTTTTTTTTCTCTTTTCTTCCTAATGGCGTGAAACAGTACCACTTAAACAAACCACAGAATTTGCCACGCTCGTGCATTCACTCCACCAATGGTTAATTCCCATCTATGTCCAGAAGAGCAGACTTTCTAAGCTCGACTATTCTCTTACTGAGTGCAATTGGATTGTATCTACAAGAGGAACATCTAGCAAAGGACTACAGGCAAGTGAATCGAGAACCGAGATATAGCACACTAAACACTACTAGCAGTCATTTCCTGCTTAGCTTCATCATGACAATTTTGGTACACATGACAACATCCACATATTGCCAATAACATGGCCACTATCTTAACCCAATCCATGCTCTTGCCGTAAAATAATGGAGCAACGACCGGACCAAGCGGCATTACTAACATACTGATGAAATTGGAGAAATAGGGATGATACCAAAAAACCTAGGCCCACAACTCAAACAAAAGAGACCTGCAAACCTAGAGCAGACTTAACTAAAGTCACCGCGCACATCGACCTCCCTTTCTTAATCCTTCCATGTCTTCCTCCTTCAGAACACTTCCCTCGCCATTGCGAACAATCCCACCATTCAAAAACAAGTAAGGACAAGAGATGTGTACACCTACATATCTAATACCACAGAGAACATGTCGCTCGTCATTATCCTATCAAATGAAAGCTGCATTAGGGAGAGCAACAGCATATAGCCCCCCGATACCAGGATTGAAGATGAAACCGGCTACTAGCTTCCTTTGAGACATCCTTGGATTCTGTTGAGTCGGCGTGTAGGGCAATTAGGGAAGCTGATATAGGCCCCGTTTGGTTCAGTTTTGAGAAGGAGCTTTTGGCCTCGAAAGCCCCTTCCCAAAATGCTGAACCGTTTGGTTCAGCTTTCCGAGTCCGGAAAGCTGAAAGCTGGCATTCCACAAATGCTGACTATTTCCAAAAAAAAAAAAAAAATTCTTCAGCAAAACGTGGCCGGCTAGGGTGGCCAGCTAGGGCGGCCGGCGAGGTCACCCGACCCAGGCGACGGCTACCTGGGGTCGAGCGACAGCCCAGGCGCCGTCACCTGGGTCGCGCGACCCCAGGTGGCGACGGCCTGGGTCGCGCGACCCCAAGTGGCGACGGCCTGGGTCGAGCGACCCTAGGAGGCGATGCCCGGGGTCTGGGCGATCGCCCTGTGCCGCCGCCGCCTAGGGTCGCGCTGATCGCCCAGCGCCGTCGGCCTGGGTCGCGCGACCCCAAAGTGTGACGGCCTGGGTCAGCGCGACCGCCTGTGCGACGACACTGGGGTCGAGCGACCGCCTGTGCCGCCGCCCGAGGTCGTGCGACCCAGGCAGCGACGGCGCCTGGGCGGTCGCGCGACCCCAGGCGGCCGTCACCTGAGGTCGCACAACCTAGGCGGCGACGGCCTGAGGTCGCACGACCCAGGCCTCCTCCGGTGACGGCCGCCGGTGCCAGATTTGGCTCGCTGGCGGCCGTAGCCCTTTGCCGGAGCCGGCGAAGGGTACTTTAAAAAAAAAAAAAAAAAAAACCTCCCAAAGCCCATTTGTAAAAAGGAATTTACCAAACACAATTGCATTTCCCTAAGTGGCTTTCAAATGATTTTTTACCAAACACCACTTGCATTTCCCCAAATGATTTTCACCTAAAAGTATTTGCACTCCCCCAAGTAGCATTTGAAAAGCCGAATCAAACGGGCCCATACTGAGAAGGACGACTGAGTTGAGTATCAAGTTGAAAGCTTCTGGCTGTTGACGAAGAAAGAAGATAAATCATTGAACGCCAGCTGTGTGGCACGGTGAGGAGAGTAGGTGGAGAGAGGAAAGTGTAAAATCCCTAAGGAATATGACATGTTATCTACACGAAAATGTATACTGACATAACCGACCAAATGGGAGGGCCGGAAGTTCTGGTTACAGGGTTAAAGTTCTTTGGGGATGGAAAGAGGAAGAGAGAGAGGTAGACGACGGGGAAGGCAACAATTTGGACGAGCGCTGTCATACAGTTGCTTTTTCCACCTTCGTCAAAGTAGAATTTACCCAGAATGGCGGCTGCTGATAAACCGAGAAGGAGAGCATTGTTGAGTGCAAAAATAAACCGCCATTTCCAGCGACTGAGACCAAGAGACGGTGGTTGATCATCCAAAAGAGTCGACTCATTGACTGACATAGCCTCACAAGAATCCATTCTGTATATCATGAATTGAAATAAGCATAAAATCTGCCAACACCGGTGAATTATCGTATCTATCGGGACACACGGATGCTACGAAAGGAAAGCATAAATCCTCTACTTACAATATGAGTGAGAAGTAAAAGCTTCCCAAAACTTTGGTTCATTCTGTATCGACTTAGCATTACCTACTTGTAAAATATGAAAAGGATGCAACTTCAATTAAACATATTAAAAGTAGACCGACCTTGCATACATCTGTAGGCTGGTGATCGACATATTCAATGCTCTAGTTTCTCGTACATGGTATGCTGACATACATCATATATGCTCAAGCAAACATTGACATAAGACGAGAGATCGAAAGAAAGAGAGAGGGCAGAGGATTCTGCAGAGACTTACCTTTATCCATCACTTTTTTCAATGAAAAAGGATAGATCCTGATGGATTAAAATAATAATATAGTCTGTTGAGGGGGTTATATACATGTTATGCCTAGTATATAGCATCTTCTGGACATACCAATGAATGCTTAGCTTTATCTCATAGAAGCGGATGCTTGTGTTTGTCCTTCAAGTTTATCACCGTCAAAAGTTTGATTGGAGGTTGGTCAAATTCCAGTGCTAGTGGATGAAAGTGCTAGCCTGTAAGCAACTACACATCTTCTCTTTCTCTCCTCTTATCTACAGGGAGAGAGTGAGCGAGAGAGAGAGAGAGAGTCCTGATTAAAATCAAAACTAAATGGTACTGTTGCTCTTCAGCATAAGTGAAGACCAAATCCTGCTTTCGGGGACAAATTGTGTCACTCTTGAGAGAAGACGTAGTCTGACCAGATGTAATTGCAACGACAGCCAAGTGAAAAAACCCAACATGTCTACACACACAATCGAACATACCAACAAGTAGTATTGTCAAATTATATTTGTGCATATAAGTTGGTAGTTAGTAGGTGGTCACAAATAAAAAAATGGGATTTTGCAATTGTCTCTCCTGCTCTAAAAATAGAGCCATTTATGTTCTTTTATCGAGTCATTTGAAATGTAGCCTTTCTAGTTTTTCCTCTCTCCTTCTCTCTGGAAGATCCTCAAATATTTACAAGTACGAACATGTAAAAAACCCAATATATTGAGGATGAACTAGTACATTGTCCGTCTTACAGCTGTGTATCATACAAGGAGTTAGTGTACAAAATTTCAACACAGTTTAGCGGATGATCACGCTATACTGAAAGTGCTCTGCAATGCCATCATAAACGCGCATCCATATTTGAGGTAGACTATCATGACAACAGAAAACTTCAGAAACAATTGTTCTCCATATGCTTCTGTCACAACTCGAACATTATGCTGTTTTGCCACTTAGCGACCTATGACCAACAAAAGGGGAAATTAGCACAGGGGATTTTAAAACAATGAAGTCAACCAGGACGCTTTACATAGAAAGAAAAACCTTGACAACACAAAACGGTCACTTGCGAAGTCAGGATGCTCACTTTGGTGTGTCCTCTACTTTGGTTTCAGCTTCAATGAAACGCTGCAGAAATCGCGATTTTCAACATGTCAGCTGCACTAGCTTTCAGTGAATGCATAAAGGGGAACCAACAAGAGAAGATGGGCTTACCTGTTGATGCAATAGCGTTGACCAGTGGGAGGTGGCCCGTCATCAAAGACGTGACCGAGATGCGCATCGCAACCAGCACACAGGACTTCCTGGCGTGGCATGAAAATGATCGAGAGATCCAATTTTGATTTGACATTGTTCCCTACGGGCTGATAGTATGATGGCCACCCAGTTCCACTGTCAAACTTTGTATTTGATCTGAAAGAAACAGTAATCACATATGACAGTTGGAGGATAGAAAGGAAACTTATCGAGGACAATGGAGATGGTGGTGGAAAAAAAGAGCCAACTCACTCGAACAGAGGAGTGTCACAGCAAATGCAATGATATGTTCCTGGGATCTTGGTGTTCCAATACTCCCTGAAGGCACATAAAACCAGAATAACAGAGAGAATTACCAGAGGTAAGCAGATAACCCTATTTGTTCCACCACACTAGACACAATGAAACATAATAATAAAGCACATTAGCTAGGGCCAACTCAAAAGGAAAGTTCCTAACCCACGCCAAAATATATATGTACACACACACACACACATGGGGAGAGAGAGAGAGAGAGCCATGCCAACAACAAAGGCAGGGGAAGATTAGTAGCAGATGCCAGATGCAGTGACAAGCAACGACAGTTTAACTGTCGAATCGATTGGAAGAGGACTGCAGGGCGGTACTTGGTTAAGTATTTTGCAAGTACATCCTTTAACATATGAAATTCCCAGTAAATTATTATTTCTCAACCCGAGAAAGGCACTTGCAAAACTTTCTTATCTTGCCCTCTAACCAAAGTTTCTGTGTCCGGCAGGCAAGAAAATAATTTGGAAACGCGGTAATTGCTCAAACTTGTATTCTACTCAAGAAAACAAGCACAGCCTTATCCCAAAACCCACCTAATTTCTATGCACCACGAACCAGAAAATGGACTGGGGAAACCTGACAGACAGGGAGATTCTATGGATTTAAAGAATCATACATAGTCTTGAAACACACAAGAGAAACAAGCAACATTCCCAAGAACCGATCGTACCCAGTAAAGGCCCTCTCGGTGCCCTTTTGCCGGGCAACGTAGTACTGCTCCGGAGTCAGGCGTCTCTTCCACTCTTCATCACTCACGGAGACTGGGCCAACTTCATCTGCCACAACGACATCATCCCAAAATTCAGGGCTTTCCCAGCAAAATCCAAAGAGGAGGCATTCTCGGGTGGGGAAAAACAAAAGGGTCCATTGCAAAACTAAAAAGAAAGAAGGCACCCCGGAAAGAAAGGGAGGATTCACGGGGAAAACTGGAGAAAAAAGGACCGACCTTGAAGGTTGTCAGGCCTCTGGGAAGAAGCAGAGGACCCCATGGCGCGAACAGAGAGCTGCCCCGTTCTCGCTTTCCTCAAGGATTGAAAAGGCGACACGACGAACTTCGAATTGGGAAGCAACGGAAGATGGGTCTTCGCGTATATGTACTTCGGCAGCGACAAAGTACCAGAAGCCGAAGCGGAAGCCATTGCTGACCTTTTCGCAAGCCTTCCCAGAATTTTTTTTTTTTTTTTTGGTCGAAACGCCATCCCAGTTCGGGGGGATAGGCGTGATGTGGTGTGTGAATGGGCACGGACGATGGATACATCCGTTGTTCGGAGGACCGCACGATGAGGATTCTCGGGAAACGGACGGATCCGATTGGAGAATATTGTCGGTGTCGAATGGGCAGGGGAGCAGGCGATAACTTGGCGCCTTCCACGTGGACAGATCGGGGTTGTGTCTATCGTGCTGCCACGTTGCAGCTCCTCGTGGAGCCTTCTGCGCTGATCTCTCGGTTTTGGGCTTTCTATCCGGAGGGAGCGGCCCACTCGAAGCCACTTTAGACTATGCAAAAATAAAGGCCCAAATTTATAATTTTTAAATATGCATTTATCGTAATCGGAAAAGGCTCTCGTTAACAAGTGCCTCGACGGCACTAGCCAAGATTGGTAAAATTAGTAAAGACAGATATCAACGTATTTTGAAAAATGAAAATAGAATATATTTTTAAAAATAATGAGCATGTTTCGAGTGGATATATTCATGTTTCCGAAACACGAATAGCTCTTTAAAAGTTTTCGTCTGAGAAATAAGCAAGGCATGATCGTGGCCCTGGCGGCTACGAGCCTGCCCGAGCCACGTGGCCTAACGGGATTAGGCGAGGTTAGGCAAAGCTATTTAGATTTCGAGCCAGCTTGATGACATTGTGCCTAATTTATTTAAGGAGGATCGAGTAGGGATGAAATTGAGTCAAGCTAGCTAGATTCGATATATCTTGAGATAAGCAGCTTGTCCAATTTCAAGTCGAGCTGGAGCTCTAGCTATTCAAGTTCTCTCGGCAAATCGAGCTCGAATTTATGACTACTCGGTTCAATAGCCCCGTGAACCTAGTCAAGTTTCTATTATTTTTCCAGTAACATCAAATAGTTATAGAAATGGCAACAAAAATCCCAAAAATGTACATATATATTCACATCAGTAGAGTTCATTAAGATCAAGCTTGAGCTTGGGTCTAACTAATTAATTATATTCGAGTCAAGCTCGGGTTTCATTAATTGGTTGTGTTCAAGTCGAGCTCTAATATTCAACTCTGCTATTCAAATCGAACTCGACCGGTCATTTCAATACTCGATAGAGCTCAAGCAAGCTTCGAGAGTTGATTTGACCTCGAGCTTATCTCTGTATCGGGTCCGAGCAACAAATTGGGCTAGACTTAAAGGCCTACCTCTAGAATATAAACAATAAGTGGTCCACTTTAAGAAAAGAGCACTTGGAATTGAATTGGTTAAGATGGATCATGCATGGCAAATGGTGGTGGATACGATCCAGGACGTCAACTAGTGGACGGTCCAATGAATGATAAATGACTGAAGAATATATGGCTCTTGGCCTTCAGAGACACCTTGCTGAACAGGGCAAAAGATTGATGTTTTGGAAAAGGACAATCGAGGACGATTTCACTCCCTCTTCGACCCATTTGGTCGCTATCAAAAGGTTAGCATATTGTTCATATTGTCCGACCGTTGGAGCAATTAGCACCACGTCATGTGGCGGTTGATAAACTTTTTAAGAAGTCGAATCTAATCATACCCCAATAATTAAGTGAAAGAACAATGCTCAAGGCCTCTTGGATAGCTATAATCGCATTCTTGAAATCTAATCATACCCCAATAATCGAACCATCAAGCACGGGAGTTCCACAGTAAAAGAGTCGGCATTGTCTTTTACAACATCACAAGTTTGTACCACAAATTTGACTGAAACCTCCGGATAACTTGTGCCTCGAACATTTCCTCCGAAGCCAACCGGAAAATACGTAGAAAAGCTACAAAAGTAGGCGTTGCTTGCGTTGAAATTGGCCCTCCAATCAAAGAGTGGACTTCCAACGGTCAGATTTGTGCATCCATCTGAAAAAAAAAAGAAAAAAGGAAAAAGAAAAGGAAACATTTTTTTGTTTTTTTTGGGAGGATAAGAAAAGGAAACTTTTGAAGTGGGGAGAAAAATATAAATTTATACACGGAAAACCAATCACGGCCGCCAAATTGAAAAGGCCAGATGGGACCCACATGGCCGCCAGCGCCAAATACACCGGACAGGCCCTCGATATATATTATTTTATTTTTTAACTTTTTCAACGTTAAGCCACACCGCAGGACATAAAATTGACCCGAGAAAACATTAATTAAATATTAAAAAAAGGGCAAAAACCCACCAAAAATCCGTGCTCACCGTGACGTATTTACCCTAAACTGTTTTCTACGGCATCAACCGTCAATGAGAACAATTGAAAATCTACAAATTGTATTGACATAAAACGACTTTGGTTAGGAGATCATCTAATGGAATCTCGACGGATAGTAAATGCGTCACATAGGTACATTCTGAACTTGTACCTATGTCACATATACGTCACATAAGTACAAGTTTGAGGTTTAAAAAGTTCTGGGTAAATGTACCACATCGAACATAATTTGAATTTTTTTTTAATGACTTTTTCCCCAAAAAAGAAATTATCATTTCCCTCTTTATAATTGGCAATTCGAAATACTTAAATTGCTAGCCGGTAGTTCTGATGACGATGCTTGGCGGTGGCTCCTCGGCATCTTCCTCGGAATATTACTCGGCCATCGACTCGAATGATTCATTCATTCATCTGGTGGTGTGGGGTGGCCATGGTGCACACTAGATTTTTCGAGGGAGCAGCGTCGCCTCCCGTGATCCGCCAATGATTGTGTTCCTCCCATGTTCGTGGACCTCACGAGAATAATGTAACTCCCCAAACCAATGAAAAATTTGGAAAAATTAAAAAATTAAAGAAAAAGAAAAGGAAAAAGAAAATTCATTGATTAATAATAATAATTCAATATATATATATATATGTACGGTGGAGATGAGTCCATCGTGAACACGCCGGGATTGGTGATGTCGGGTGTCGGCTTCGATGTCGAAAGGTTTTGGGGGGGCCTTGAGGGCCTTTTAATCAAATCCGAATTGTTGAGGGATTATTGTTAGTTTTAATGTTGTCACATCCTCCCGCTTCAAAGTTTTAAACAATGATATGCGTCCCCTCCATCGCAATTGTCTAGGCAAGGTCATGAAGATTAACGAAAGCTTTTAATCTTACTTTAATCCCGCGACGCATGAATTTCCGAGCCGAGCCGAGCTCGCCAGTCAATTGCGGATGATTTCTTTTCTTCCCGCACGGCACGACCCGGAAGGGCGGTTCCGATCTTCCGTTGCATTTCCTTAGATTGAGGTTTGTCCGATCCGAGCTAGCTGGGGCAAGACTTCTCGAGATGTGTGTGAATTCTTCCTCGTTCCCTTGCATCGGCTTACAACTAAACGGGGAAGATGCGCGTGAGCGTGAAGAGTCAAACTCTTCCCTTTTACGATTGAGAAGCATGTTTACCGTGTCCCCAAATGATATGCGAATCTTCTGATCTCGATTTAAGTAATCTAAATATAAAAAGGAAATTATTTATAAAAAAAGGGATAATGACACAAGTAGTCCCTGAACTTTGACTTAATGTGTAATTTGGTCCCTGAACTTTTAATTTGTTCAATGTAGTCCCTGAACTTTAACATAATGTTCAATTTGGTCCCTGAACTTTTAATTTGTTCAATGTGGTCCCTAAACTTTTAATATGTGTTCAATTTAGTCCCTGAACTATATGAAAATGTTCAATATAGTCCCTACACTTGAATTAATGGAAGGACTATATTGAACATTTTCAAATAGTTCAGGGACTAAATTGAACACATATTAAAAGTTCAGGGACCACATTGAACAAATCAAAAGTTCAGGGATCAAATTGCATATTAGGTTAAAGTTCAGGGACTACATTGAACAAATTAAAAGTTCAGGGATCAAATTGCATATTGGGTCAAAGTTCAGGGACTATTTGTGTCATTTTCTCTAAAAAAAAAAAGGGCCGAACAAGAAAAGAACTGAGAATGCTTTTTTTTTTGGTTGTTTTTTCGAGGGAGAACCGAGGGTGAGGCTCCAAGGCAAAGCCTCGTGGGGATGGCAATTCACGAACATCCACGAAAATTACATTTGATTGACGATGGTAGGCCTATGAAAACTACGTCGCTTCCTCTCTCTCTCTCCCCCTTCAATAACGACAACCCACCCGTCGTCTTCCTGTGTATTCAAATAAACAAAAGACGACGACGACGACGACGACGGCGGCCACGCGAGGGAAGGAAGGTGCGTGGTGGATGATGGCTTACTGTTTTTTTATATTGGGGGTGCGCTTCGCTTGGCTGAGGTTCACCTACCGTTTTTGACGCATGGCTTTTTACCCGTTCGCCCGCGATTTCCAGATGGATTAGTCAAACCTTGAAATTGCCACGATCACCGCCCCTCGATTGCCTAAAAGAAACACGACTCTATGCATTGAAGCAAAAGCAAAAGCAAAAGCAAAAGCAAAGCATGTTGGTGCGCTACAACCGCCATTGCAATTTGGCTATTTAGGGGACTCCGGAGAGTTGAATGCGAAGATCATCTTTTGCACCCTTTTCTCGTTCCTTTTCCTCCGTGTTGAGGAGTACATAATTCGCGACCTTCGGTTCTTACCCCCCCTTCCTTTCTCTTCTTCCTCACTCGATGTTTAACATTAAAAGGTTCGTGCTCGAGGGCGCTTCGAGGCAAAAGTTTACATTTGGGAATTCCTCCATTCCTGCAATTTTAATAGGTTGGCTTTTCGCAAAAAGGTTTGCTCGAGCAAGGAAATGCATATGTTATCGTTGGGTCACCTTTACGAGCATGCTCTAACGTCAGCACGTGATATAAACATCGAGATCGAGTGATTTTCAAATTCAATTGTAAGGAAAGAAAGAGAATTCGAAATTCGAAGAGTGTTTTGGATATCACATGTTCGGCATAGCAAAATCTACCCGGGAAAAATTTGTGGAGAGTGCAATGGAGTTTATATGGCTTTGGCGGCTTATGGCGACAAGGTGCTTGGGAAAAATCCTAGGAGAAACAGAGTTGCTAGTATATCGGTTCAGGATAGAATCGGGAAGCAAACCA